ACTAAGTTGCTTTCTTGATTTTATTCTGAGTGTCAATTAAACAGGGATACTTCTTTCTGTTGCATCTTAACAAATGAGAGTGGGATATTCATAGTAATGAATGTACTGTACATAGTAATGAATGTGATTCTGAGGAGATACTTTTTAATTTGGCATGTTGAATAAGGTAATACATTTTGTACTTACTGGCTTGTTTGCAGTGACATTCATTAATAAATAGGGATGGATGCCTCCTGAAGGATGCTGTTTACTCTCTGACAAAGTCCACATCAGATAAATTCTGATGTGGACTTTGTTGCTCTTTCCTCCCCATTTAAAAGAGATACAATGGAGTTTGTAACCAAATTGTATAATAAAGTAGATGAGGAAGCCCATGGACTGTTGCTCTTGTCCAATAAATGCCTTTGGCAGCTGGGGAGTCTTGGAGAAGCATGAAAATCGGAGGAAGTTATGACCAGGTCATCATTACTTTTAAGGAAATTATTAAACAAACTACAGTCTTAAACATCTTTTTCTCTGTTTAAACAGCTGGATTTATCTGACATTACATATATCGCTGTTTATCATATAGTGCTGCTCAGAGACAATTATGTGTGCAGCACTATTAATATGAGCAATTTATGAGCTTGCAAAACAAATTATTGTCATCAGGTCAATGTGTCAAGCTGGCCCAATTCAGTTGTAATATAAGGAGGTAGAATTTCTTAAGAGAGAAATATATGAGGTAATATATGAAGTATATTAACTTACTTCAACAAACCATCTAATTTCTATGCACTATGTCTGTGCACTATGCACTATGTCTGTGAATAGCCTATGTTTGATTTGCTGAATGGGGAGACACATTTTTTTGCATTTTTATGCAGATAAAACTGTAGTTTGTAAATGAGCAAGAGAAATATCTTGTTGAATATTTTGTTGAAGGAGGACTTTGATTGGAGGAAGTGAGAAAGCTGCAAGATTTCCAGATTTTGATTGACAAGGCAAAGGTGATGTTCTCTTTCCTTCTACACCCACCCAAATCCAGACTAAAAAACTCAGTACAACAGAACACTATTTTAAAAACTAGATGCACAAAAATATGGTTTGTTTTTTTTTTCTCTTTCTCCCCTAACATCAAAATTACAAGAAAGGAGTGCAACCAGTGCCAGATGATTGTTCATTAAATATGGAAGAAAAAGATCAAATCTTTAACATATACCTGATTAATACCTGAGTAACATAATCATTCTGACAGAGAGGAGGAAGGCTGAGCTGAAAAAAACCAGTCAATTTGTATGAGTGACTGTGTGGTACTTAATTGCTCTTTTTTTTTTTTTTTTTTTTTTTTTTTAGTAATTAATTGCATTTTGTAGTGAAAAGCATTATTTTACTTAATTCTCATGTAAAATAGTTGCTATGATGTTCATGTTATGCTCTGTAAAATCTATTCATTTTTTTCAATCATTAGCATTACTTTACCTGTCCAACTATGCCTTTCATGATAAAATAACTTCATTAGATCTTTGTAGATGTAGCTGATGTAAAATTTCATCCACACAGATCAGATTCTAAGACCACAAATGTCATGGACTATTCAAATTTTTCATGATAGCTTGGCAAGTCAGAAATTTTCTGTATAAAATAGCAGAGTTCTGAATCTTCACAATAAACACTCTTAGGAAAGAGATAAACAATATTACTTATTTACTTGTATATGTAGGCCTAATTTGGTCTCAGGGCTATTACCCTTGTTCTCAGAGTTGTGTTATGTCATGGCTTATTGCAGTATATGTTCCCTGATGTCGTGTTTATCACCTTTGGTGCCTGGGCTGAGGTCATAATTTTGTTGTTCTCTGTATTAATAGCCTGTGAGGCGATAGAACCACTGGTCATGAGCCTAATCCTGACTGCCTTCTTGGCACTGCAACACCTCTGGACCTCGGGAGCCATCTGGTGGGAACTATTAACAATCACACCTATATTATCCCACGTTGCTTCTTTTGGCTAATTACAGTGGCATTTGGAAACTTTAAAAAAATTTGAATACTCTTGGGATGTTGAAACCAGCATGGTCCTATTGCTAGGAGCTGTGAAAGTGGTTCAGGTCTTGTTTAGAGGTGGGGTTTTCATTTTATCTTTTGTTTTGGTTTGGTTTTAATTGTATTTTTTTTTCCTTTTTACTTTATTTCAATTAATAAACTGTTCTTATCTCAACCCATGGGTTTTGCAATTTTCTTTTCCATCCTCTGGGGAGTGGGGAGTGAGTGAGCAGCCACATAGGAGTTAGTTGCCATCTGGATTTAAACCACAACACAAGGTTAGAAAGACTGCTGAAGCTGGATAGTTTTTCATGTAGAAATGCCTGGATAAAGATGTAAGGGTTCCTAGACAGGTAAATACTGAAAGTCTAGACTCCAGGTCAGGTCTCTCCAGAGGAGAAAGAGAATATTTGTCTGCATATTTGCTGCATATTTGCTGCGGGTGCACTGGTTGCCACAATGTCATTGGTTGAGACAGTCCTTGTCTCAATATGGACCCCTGAGGGACACCACTTCTCACTGATCTCCATTCAGCTCTTGACCAATACTTTCTGGATACAGCTGTTCAGCCAATTCCTTATGCACCAAACATCCACACATCAAATCCATCTCTCTACAATTAAAAGGGAAGGGTTTTGTCAGGGACCATGTCAAAGGCCTTACACAAGTCCTGACAAATGACAGCTACAGCCCTTCCCTTTTCCACTGATGGAGTCACTGCATCATGACTGAAGTCCACTAGGTTGGTCAGGCAGGACTTGCCCTTGGTGAAGCTGTGCTGGTTGTCCCAAATCAGCTCCTTGTTTTCCACGGTCCAGGATCTTCCCAGGCATAGAAGTGAGGCTGACAGGCCAGTAGCTCCCACAGTCATTTTCTCTACCCTTCTTAAAGATGGGTACAATGCTTCCCCTTCTCTAGTCACCTGGGACTTCACCTGACTGGCATGAATTTTCAAGTATTAAGACAAGTAGCTTGTCAACTGCATCAGCCAATTCCCTCAGGAGTCTGGCATTCATCTCGTCAGGTTCTATGGATTTCTGGATATTCAGGTTCCTTAGGTGGTCACAAGCCCAATCTTTTACAGTGGGAGGAATTTTTCTCCCCCAGTCCCTGCATTGAGAGGTGTGGGGAGAGAGATTTGTCAGTGGGGACTGAGGCAAAACACTTGGACCTCAGCCTTTTCTTAGTTTGTTATTTTCAGTTTCCCAGTTGTGTTTATCAGAGGAGTATACTTTCTTTGACCTCTTTTTTGGCTGAAATACCGATAGAATCTTTTCTTACTGTTCTTTCCCTTTCCAGGTTCAGCTCCAGCCAAGCCTTGGCCTTTCTGACCCCATCCCTACACAACCAGGCAGCATTCCTATTGCTGTATTTTAATAAAAATCTGGGACAATAGTAGAGTACTTTATCTTAGAACTTTTGGACCACTAGGTCCAAATATACCAGGTAAGCAGATAAAGAGGTCCAAATGTCCTGGACTGGGAAATAAAGAGGCCCAGATGTACTAAGTAAATAGATAAAAACTTTATGACTAGCTTATTCCATTTCAAAAGGCAATAAAACTAAACCGACAAAAGTTTCAATCAATTTGTACATTTTTCTTGTCATACAGGGATCAGTTATATGTGGCCATTTTCAGCATTTATTAATTTGCACAAAATACTGTAATACTTACATCATTATCATCTGATACACATGAAGTGGAGTTGAAAAACAAGGGAAAATACTTAATACCTTGTCAAGTTCTATCTATTTCACCCTCTTTTCTACCACTCATCTATTTGAAGGTAAAATTAAAACAATACAAACCAAAAGTCTGCAAAAATAAAAAGCTTCCTCAGAATGACACAATCTAATGAAGATGTCCCTTCCCTGTAATTTATAGAAAATTTAGGATTTTTCTTTTGCTTTCAATAAAATATTTAAATATTCCATAAGGAGTTTACTTGAAAAGGAAACTTTGAAGTGTGCTGTGATTTTTTCACAGCAAAACAGATGTGGAATTATCTGGAAAAGCAGGATCAGTGCAGCTTGAAGGAAGTCTCCATCCCACTGGCTGCCCTAGCAAAACACATGAGAGGTAAAGGAGGTGTCCATCATTGCTTCCCCTAGGAGTAAGTGCCATATTGAAAGAAGCATCAGCTCTACTCTTGTGATAGTGGGTGACAGAGATTTTTCTCCTATCCTGGATAGATTTTGAATGTTTTCCCATTCAGTATCACAATGGAGCTATCATTTCTTAAATAATAGGAAAGAAAAGACCACCTGTTTCTCAAAGCAAGAGCACTAAGATGCTTGCCAGGGAAGTTATGAGAGAATTTTAACAGTGCTCTATTTTGTTCAGCTTGTCTTGTCATCAGCCTTCAGTCTCCTACCTCAAGCAAGTGTCCTGGTCACAAGGCTCTGAGCTCTTCCAGAGTCTTTTGTCTTTTCCACTGCAGCAGCTGTATCAACTGTCCCTTGCTTTACATGAAGGGCAAAAGGGAGAGGTATTGTTGTAGTTCAATGACTGTAGTGCCTCAGTCTTTCCTTATGGCTGTAGTTTTTAGGAGAAGCTCAACAGTAACTCTGGGAAATCATCCCCATTGAAGTCAGCATGTGAATTCCCAGCATAGCATTTTTCATGGAAAAAAAGTGGAATGCAGATCATGTTATTTGTTTAAGTGGAACTCTGAGTGCTTTTTTGTATGACATAAAAAAAATACAGTAATATCTGTATGTTCGTGTGCTGCACTGATCTTACTGTTCATGCTGGGTAGCAGTCTATATTTACTTGAGTTATCTTAGATATAAATATGAGGGATTAAAAGCTCTCTGACTAAAGATCTCACAGATGATTACTGCAGACTCGCAGTGTAGCTCTAAAATGGAAAGCAGAATGTGACTCTTCACTCTGGCTTCCCAGGCTCCCGCGAGCAGCAAACAGCAGTTGCAGATAAAAATAGAAAGTCGTAAGCAATCAGGATCTTTAGTTAAATATAGAAGTCACTCTCCGTGACAGTAAGGAGTGCAGGACAAAAATGAAGTCTCTCCGATTCATTAGCGCCGAAGCATTAGTGTCAAATTCAGAGTTTGCCAGGAAGAGTCTCGGTGCTGTTGCTCATGATCTTTTTCCGCTTCTTTTTAAAGCCAGCTATTTACTGGAGCAAGGGGAAGTGATTCACGACTTGGTAGAAAACTGGCCACTTTTTGATTTTAACATGGGAAAACTATTGGGAGCTACTCTGGACTACGAGGAAGATCTGAGCTATAGAACATGCTCCGTGTGCTTGGAAAGCTGTCTGACAGGGCTGAGAGACTACGTGCTGAATCAGTCTTCTCCCTACATGAAAAAGTTGAAAGTGGTCGACCTGACAGGTATAAAAGATGTTGAAGTTCAGTTCTGTAAGTGCAAGAAGACAATGGGCAGGTGGGCCAGGACACAGCTGCTCTCTGAGCTTTGTTCAGCCCTCCCGGTTTACATGCAACAAGCACAGTGCAATCCACGTACCTTTGACATCAGTATCAATGTACTAATTGACCTGTTTGTTACAGAGCGGAACTATGAGCTGGTTGTGCAGGCCCTATTGAAGAAATGCAGTTGTCCTCTGAAAATCTGCTGTGTGGCATTCAGATCTGACAACCTGACCTTGCAGAAATTCTTCTATATCATAAAGCTCGCTGATCCCTCCTTGTTGCGCAAACTGGAAATAGTTCATAATGTTCGCTTGGAAATGGAACACTTAGAAATGCTCTTCAACAGTATCCACTTCCCTCTGTTGATGTCCTTGACGTTGCCAGCACGAACATTTAATGTGCAGAGGTTCACAGCTACGGATGAACAGATGCTTACTAACATTGGAGAAAAGATGGGTGAGATGGCACAGCTCACTGAGCTGAATATGTCATTTTCTATACTCACTGGAAGAATACAGAAACTTCTCAGGTAATGTGGTCATCCTGCTTTCAGTCACACTATAAAAAAGAGCACTTTGTGACACCAGCAAGCTGAGATTAAGGGAAATGAGTAAAGTAAGCTAAGGGTGTGCGTGGGAAGGGGCAGTAGGAAGCCAGGAAAGATTATGTGTTGGGGAGAATTGGCAGCCAATGTATACCTAATACACTTTGAAAAACTGACAATTTTGATTAGTCTTCTAGGGTCCATCTGGTAAGAATATACTTTCAGCTACCACAGAAGAGACTGGTATACCCAGACATTTTTTATTTGAACTTATATGTTAATCAGCTTGCATTGGCCTTTGGTGCAAGTCTTGAATTGCATTCGAAGTATCTTTTAGAGTATCTAGTGAATTTTTGTCCTCTAAATAACAGTCAGTATATACACTTTTCCGCTGATACTGTATTTTAAGGAGGGCAGGGGAATAGTTGATTTTCATTTGAGATTTTGATTTCAGTTATTTGTTGTGTCTCTTGGTGTCAAGACAAGAGAGATTTGATGGTTTTTTGTACTACAAATTAAGCTGATATGTGCATATTCGTTATGAGTTCCAGTGGGAAATTGACAATTTGCAAAAAGCTAGCAAACTACCAGTGAACAGTACTCATATTGGAATGGGAAATAAGTTAATTGTAAGCTTTTCAGAGCATCTAAAAAAAATAGGCAGATAAAAGTTTCAACCAGACAAATGACCTTGGTCTAAAATTCTTCCCATACAAGAAGTCATTTTATTTAAAATTTGTGAGTAACACACTGCATATATTGATTGATACAATTGAAATTAATTGCAAGTTTCTAAGCTTGATCCACCTGAGCCCTGGGGCAGAAGTCTCACTAAGATGTAATAAGTATGAAAGCAATCTCTTTATTTTCATTTGTCAGAACTATTTTATATTTAACATGAATATCTGAGTATAATCTCAGTTACACTTCTTCCAACCTTCTTCATCAGAATGTCTCTTTGTAACTCCAGAGCACTACAATGTGTAAACGTCTTGGGCATTAAAAAATGTAGCAGAAAAATAAAACAGCTAGAAACAAAAGGAGATATCCTGTCAGAATGCTGATTTCATATTGGAATTAATCCTTCCTTAATGGAAATTATCTAAATCTCTGGAATAATTGCAGCTTTCTACAAGAAACAGTTACCAGTGCTCTCATGGTAGTAGTGATCTGCTGTTAAAGTCAGCAAGTGACAGACACTTTACAATATATAACTGGTTAAAAACCAGATACATAGAATGTTAATAAATTAATCCCCATTAAAATAGCACAGTGGAGTCATGCAAAGAAGGAGATAATTAATGGATCTAATTCCATGAGGAAAATATACTTGATATTTTTGGCAAATGCTTCTGTTTTCAAGAGAGGTTTCAAAAAAGTAATGTGGTAAATAGCAGCATTCATAATGTGGCTAGACATATGAAATTTTGTAAATGTAGCTTTTCAACATTTTGTATCATAAATTTTTTTTCTCTTTAATTCTGCAGCCCACTAAAAACTCCACTGAAGATGCTGGATGTTTCTAACTGCTCCTTGAACCATGCTGATATGGCCTTTTTAGCCAGTAGCTTCCATGCCAATCACTTGGAAGCCCTGGACCTGAGTGGCCACAATATAATTGAACTTTACCCATCAACATTCTTTAAGCTCCTCAGCCATTGTTCTTCAGTGCTCAGGAGTCTTACCTTGGAGGAGTGTAATATCCAAGACACTCATGTCAACATGTTGATTTTAGGTTTAAGCCCATGTCAGAAACTGCAGGAGTTTAAGTTTATTGGAAATCCACTATCATCCCAAGCACTTAAAGACCTTTTCACATTTCTCTGTGAATTGCCAATGCTGAAAAATGTGGAGTTCCCAGTTCCAAGGGATTGCTACCCTACTGGCATCACCTACCCCATTGATGATGCCAGTGTTTGCAGATTTGATCACCAAAAATATGAAAGGGTAGCAGAGGAGCTTAGCCTCATTTTACTCCAAGCAAATAGAGAGGATGTGAAGGCTTCAACACCACTTTTTGGGAGTTATGATGCAGCTGTTCAGGAGACAAACAATGAACTGGGAGCTTACTTGATCAAGTCTTTCAAAGAGACTTTAGAGAAGTTCACTTCTTCATTTAACAAATTTAGTTAAATTTATAAAATTGTAAAGTAGTGAGATAATCTGCTAAATCAGAACTTAAATTAGTCTTTTCTGGATCTGCACCTTCAATCACCAGTTGTGAATTTTCTTTAATTTTTCAGCTGAATTTACTAGTATTTGAATAGCCTCTAATCACCTGAGTTACTGTAACTTATGCTATATCTAATGCATACACTTTACACAAGCACTACTTGCTCACAAAAGATGAGAGGACACTTAATAGTGCATTGTTTTATATAAATGCACTTTTTCTCAGTAAATCAAATAGGTGTGTAAGCTTGGCTGATTTCTTATACAGGTTCCCTTAGATTTGTCAGCTGGTCTTGTAGTCTTGCAGAAAAAACAGAGAAGTCCTTTCCTAAGTCCAGCAGGATGTTCAAAAGATTGTGCACATATCCTCACATATGGCTCCCTAAACTGATTTTGACTTTTTTGCTCATGACCTGAATTTACCAATCTGTGTTTTATGTTGTATATTCCAAATAATGGAGGATTTATAACAGCCTCCATATCCCTGTGCCTCTTTCTTCTGCAGAGGCAAGTGCAATAAACAGAATTTGTCTTCTATACTGCCCTTGGTGAGGAGTAAAATTCCATACTGAGGAGGTAGCAGATCAAATGGTTGGCTGACAGGAGGGAATCTCATCCCACTTACCCAGCAATACTAAGCAATCTGTGGGGACTCTGCTGATGTTCTTGCAATATGTATTTTAGGAACGTGGGCCAGTGTGTATTTTAGAAAGTGCTGCACAGCCATGTCAGCTGGTCAGAGCCTCAAGATACTCCCTTCCTGGAATCGGCTCCTTGGCTGGTAGAATGCACCCTGCTCCTTTCAGCTGTTTTAAAGAAAGTCGAGGACTGTGGTAGTACTGAAAAAAAGATTCATTTGAAAAGACATGCAAAAAAAAAAATCCAATGCCAATTTAAAAAATGTGGAAAAGGGGCATGGCTGGTTGCTGACTAACTAGAAGTTCTTCTGTGTAAAACACTGCTGGCGTTCTGTCAGGACTGTGTGTTCTCTACAGACTTGCCACCAGTATCAGGAAAAATCACATTTATTTGTCTAGCTTTAGTGCAAGGAAAGTATTAGAATGACAGAGTAAACAGTGTCCCAGAGTCCACACACACAGCATTGGAGCATAGGTAAAGGGGCCAACTGGATGTCAGGACAGTAAGGCCACAGGACACATCTGGGGAGAGTACTGTAATTGGGGCCTGAGTGGTAAACAAGTGCTACTCAGCTTCTCACCTGTAAAACTGGAGACTTGGTTAGCTTCTAGGTAATTAATAAATAAATATAATAATGTTTTTAAAATATATAATAAATATACTTTAACTGTTAATGAAAACTTGATCAAACGGGACTGAAAATGAATACTTGTAGCAGGAGCTGAAGGTGTCATTGTAGTATTGAGGATCATCATTATGATAACCAGGACAGTTTATTTGAAATAATACTGGGCCTCATCATCTGAGGGTGAGGAAAAACTTTCTTCATTTAGGCAGTGCTGATTTGTCAAGCTTTCTGTTTATCTATTCCTATTCTAGGAATATGCAAGAAACTCTTAAACTAATTTATTTTTAAAAACATCAAAACAAAACAAAAATTAATGGACTGAGTACTAACCAGAACTTACATGTTCCACAGCATGCATTTAATTTTTTTTTTTGATGTCAGCTTACATGATGGTAAAATTGAAAGTGAATAGTCATGACCTGTTTATGTTTACAGAGCACTTGAAAAATACAAAGGTAATCCAAGTTGCTAAGCTAGGGAGTTGAGAATACTAAATTACAGAATTGGGTCCCATTCTTTCCCAAAGCTGTCTTATCTTTGTGGCTTCATCTTCTCTCAAACTCCCATAACTTTGAGAGGTGTAAATGCTGGCTGAGATGATTAGTCTTACAAGATCAATGGAAAGTAGATGGATCTGTAATTTGCTAGATGTCCCCCACTGTTCTGTCACTACATGCATTTGGAAAAAGTTCCTTTCTAGATTTCTTGTAGACCCCCCTTTAGATACTTGAAGAGTGCTGTAGGTTCTCCTCAGTGCCTTCTCTTCTCCAGGCTGAATGAACCCAACTCTCTAAGCCTACCTGCGTAGGAGAGGTGTTCCAGACCTCTGATCACTCTGACGGCCTCCTCTGGATTTGTTCCAATGGGTTCAAATCTTTCATGTCTTGGGATTCCCAGATCATGATAGTTCAGTTTAGGCAACCCACTTCAGTCTGTCCCTTTCTTCTTTTCTTATGGTGATGTTTTTCATGTGGAGCACTCAAGTATCCAAAGAGGTTTATGGAAATCACAGTTTATGCAAACTTAATAATCTGCATTGTAAATTCTACTGCTGGAACTGAGCAGTTACACTTCACAATTTTGAGCATCATCTAACTGAAGCCTTTTGGTTGAATGCCTGCCTACCTCTGTTAGTTTAATGCAACTGCACTACAGAATGCTAATGCTGAAAAGAAAAAGTATGTTAAAAACAACAAACAAGTCAGCATGAATTCATAAAGTGAAACGACATTTCAACCCAATCCATAATTTAATAAATGTAATAGTTTTAATTACCACACAGTATATAAATAGAATTTAAATTTAAAAAATGTATTAAAAGTATTATGCTAGAAATGATAAATGATAAATCATAGGGGAACCTATAAACCAATTGCCAAACTCAGAGAGAAATGTCAATGAATTAAGAAATTCTTGTGATGGCTTAAACTCATAAATACAAACCAGTATACTTCCTTAAAGAAAAAAATAAAAGGGTATTTTTCCTGTGGTGATACATGTTGGCTGACTCCTTAGAACCCTACTATTTATTATGTGTAATAGTCCCATTATCTTCAAAATTTTCAGAGCACTACTTGCATACCAATAAAGTAGTCTGCTTCTTCCATTACAAAGTTCTACTGGATCTTGATTAGTAATTACTACATTGTAGTGATTATTCTGTGATTTTTTTTTTTTTTCTACTGATACTCTTTTTTCAGCCTTCTGATTTCAGAATTCCAAGATCAAGGTATGAAATACCTTGAGGTACATGCTCATGTGACAAGACGATTTTTATATTTTCTTTTGGCATCCCCTACTGGTGTACAGCTGTGAAGACTCCTCCATGACACTGAAGATCTCAAAACAGCTCCTATGCTTCTTTGGCTAAATCCTTTTGAATGTTAATAACAGCTAAAGAAATGGCAGGTCAATGACAAAATATTTCTATTCTCTTCAAGCAACATAATTTCATTGCTTCAGTGAATATACCGTCTACTTAAGCAGTACATTTAATTACACTACTTTGCTTGTTTCACGTCGTTTATTTTGATTTTGGTTTAAGTTTTTCAGTTTTTAAAATAGTAATAATGGAGAAAGAAATGTCAAATTTGTCATTCAAATTAACGTTGATAAATATCCTTTGTGATAATGCAGTGAGGCAATGCATAATTTTCCATCACTTCGTAAGTTATGTGAAGATGATGAAAAATCTGCATAAAAATTCCAACTCAATTCCTTGAGGACTAGGCAGAATTTTTTTCCATTATTATTATTACTTCTAAAAACTTACTTCTTACTTCTTCCAAAAAGAATGGAAAAGCATTAGTGACATTAACATCTTTCGATTTATTGTAGCTGCAGCATTTCCTGATGTAGAAACCTTCAATCTCACTTTAAGCACCTGGCATATCTGGGAACATGATCAAACCATGTTCCCTAGAAGAATCAAAGGAGACAAACTAGCATTTCAGATTAACAAAAGAGGAATTCTCTGTTGGCTATAGAAGGATTGGGCAGTTGCGCTTTTAGATCAAATTTTTTTAGGACACCAAGCATACACTGTTTTCTCACCATTATTAAGCATGCTCATGTGAACTTTGTCAAGAAAGGGCCTCAGAAATGGAAAACCCCTGTCTGGTCTACAGACCAGACACACAGGGTGTACACATGAATGGGAGCTGAAGGATCTTTCTGTGGATACTTCCTAAGAACAGAAAATAAATAATTTTTAATAGAAATCAAATTTACTACTGAAAGCTGATGTTGATCAATGACACCGTCCAAATGACAAATGATTTCTAATTGCAGATTTTGCTCATTCTTTGAATGCTCATTAATCTCTAGTGAGTATAAGATGGGAGCATGCATTGCTAAATATTAATACTTCCCATTAATCTTAAATTGCAGTTATGATTTTCAGTTAGATGGAATAATGTTATCATCTGTTTCCTATCAGATTATCTACTGGACAGAACTAGTCTTTTCCTTTTTTGATAGACTGCTTTGACTCTTCACCCACACATATCTTTATATTTTCTTTTTTTTTAATCAAAACACGTGATTTCTTCAAAGATAAAGTTCACTGATATTTAAATAAACATAAAAATCCCTATTATCTAACCTTCCCCCCAATTATTTGGTGTTTTTTTAACTATAGGTTGTTAGTATTCTTCTAGAGTTAATGACTAGAATATGCCTTTTTTGTAGATGGGATTTATGAAGCATAAACAGCTCAGTGACTTGCTAAATAGGTAATACCTGCCTGGAGAAGAGAGTACAGCAGTCTTTGTTCCCAAGTGCACATTTTCATTTTACGCAATCTGTTTTCTTCCAGGTATAGGCTATAAAGTAAGAGAATTTAATTTCGTATATAACGAACATATTTGCCATGCACCTTAACTTTCAAAACAAAAGTCTTGAAAATGTTCCTTATATTGAAGTCAAGGATAATGCTGACACCAGTGACATTAGTAAACATCTGCAAGACACTGAGGCTATTTCTGTGTGTATAAGTAGCATAGGGACAGGAAGAAGGTTTGCCATTATTCATGCTGAATTGCCAGCACCATCTATAACATTGCTTTCTGTATGCCAGCTCTTCCCCAGGAAGCATCTAGGCTTGGACAGCACATGCTCCCAGGCAGTTTAGAAGAACAAACCCTGTATGGTGATGAGAGAGTTTAAGCAAGAGTACACAGTAAGGCTTTGCCCCCTAAGCCTGAGATCAAAGAAGTGTCCATTGCAGAAAATAACATGTAACTGCATCAAAATTTGTTGCAGTGCTTTGCAACTGGGTTCATCGTGTCCAAGGAGGGTGCAGCTGCCAGTGCTGCGCACAGGAGCATGGGAAAAAAATTTATTTCTTTAAAACTGCTGTATCTTTAACCATGAATCAATGTGCCTGTCTATAGAGTTATCTTACTTCCACAGTTCTTAGAGCGCACAAAAATGAATTTCTTTGCATTTCAGAGAGTCAAGCATTTCACTCCATCTGTAGGGCAAACTGTACTGCCGGGTACAGAGCAGTATCTACACGGGACCCCAAACCTTGTTTCTATTGAAATTTTTATTGAAATTAGATGCATGCCTTCTTGATATTTAGAATGTTCTGTATGAGTCATGAACTAATACCATATGGTATCAACTGTTACTTCATTTCAGACATAGTAAGGAGAAAATGAACTTTCTACTTTTCATCTTAAAGTGTATCTGACTTGGTTGCCATGCTGTTTCAAGTTTTTGTCTATGCCATTAGGTTGAACATTTTTGTCCCCGTGAAATGACATCTTTTTTATCATCTTTAAAGCCTCATTTGAGTCCAAACCACATTATCTATACAATTTCTGCTCTTTCACTGGAGTATAGAACAAATACTATAAGTTATTTGTCTCCTTTTTGTTATAGAAAAGTAGATGGTTGGAGGTCCAGCTTCTCAAGATATGGAACAGTATTAAACTGACATCATCATATATTTCATTGAATAGTAGTTTCTGTGAATGCAAATACTGCACTGCAGTTTCCCAAAACATTTGGCAAAGATTTTTGACTTTAGGTTTTATCTCTCCATAAAGGTTTATGGAGAGACAAGAAAAGTTCAAATCTTTTGTCCTGCTTCAGGGTAACAATCATTCAAATGAAGGGTAAGGTTTCTCAAAAAGCATAGATTCATTCCATCTGCCTTTTTTCTACTCTGATTACTTCCTTTATGGTAAACAAACAGCTAGTATCAGAAGTCAAAATCTGATTTGTTCTGGGGAAAAATCTTATATGTTTATTATGTATGCATAATAAAAAATAATAATTTTTTACAAATCCATAACCTATGACTCATATAGTTAATAGGAAATAATCCCCTATTTGAAGTTAATAAAACAGATATGAATAAAATTCATTAAATAGAAATAAATAGCATGGTGTTTGTTAACTCAATATTCAAAGCTACAAAGTGAAACTCTAACGTTTCCTGTGGGTTTCTGTTCCTCTTCTCCCAGACTTAAGGACAGATTGTATTCCACTGGTGTATTCTGGATGTGGAATGAAAATCTTAGAAATGGTGACTTAAATAGTTCTAACATTTCTTAACAGTTTAATGCCGACTTCCTACCAGCTGCAATCCTTTGATTTCTCTCCATTCCTTTCACTCCTTTTTTTCTGAACAGCACAAAGATACCATGCCACCATTTATAATGCAACAAGGGTAGGACATTTGCAATGTTTCCTCAGTAACAAGGACACCACATAGTTCATATTTACTGAGATAGAGTCAAATAACAAAATGCAGTTCAAGACTTTTTCCAGAAAAATAGGACCAAATTCAAAGATGCAGTTTTCAAAACTCCAAATACCTAGTGTTGAGTAGGCATCATGATTTTATGCATTCTGTTTTTGTTTTCCTGAAAATAAATGTCTGTATAGCACATTCTAGCTGTCTCTCATGGGTCAGAGAAATTACTAAATAACTAAATCTTCAAGTGAAATATGATTGGTCTCAAAGTGAAAACCTTTTACATGGTTGGTACGCTTGGACTTAGGTCAGTGTGGCAGAACACAGCTATAAAAAATTTGAACAGAAAACAAGATAATAGGTTGTTTACATTCCTCTCGGACTTTTTTCCAGGCTTAGCCTGGCAAAAATATTTCTCTTTTTCTCTCTGACTGAAATGAGAATATCCACAGTAAAACAGTCTGATATTTTAAAAAATTCTATGCATTATATAACTAATGTGGTAATGCCTAAAGGCTAGAAGATTTTCCATTTCTATTCTATATTACTATTTAGAATGAATTGAAAATGTGTTATTCAGTGCTGCACATACAAAACAGAACATATAGAACATATATTAAAGATCAAAATCACATGACTCAATTCAAAGTCAATAGATGTTAAATTGTCCCTATACTATTTTCATTCTTCTATCAAAACAACCAGAGATGCTGTCAGTCATATCTGCGATCACAGAATCATAGAATCCTTTGGGTTGGAAGTAACCTTTAAAGAATTTCTACTTTTAAGCATCTGCCTTGGGCAGAGATACCTGACTTTAGATCTGGTTGCTCAAAGCTCCCTCTAACCTGGCCTTGAACATTTCCACTAATGGAGAGTCTACAACCTCTCTAGACAACCTATTCTAATGTGTCACCATTCTTATTCTAAAAAAAGCTCCTCCTTGCATACAATCTAAACCTTTATTGTCTCAGTTTAAAACCATTGCTCCTTGTCCTATCACTACAGACCTATGGTAAAAAGTCTTTCTCCATCTTTCCTATAAGCTGCATTTATACAAATGGAAAGGCCACAAGAAGGTGTCCCCACAGTCTTCTTCAGGCTGAAAACCACCAACTCTCTCAATTTTCCCTCATAAGAGAGGTGTTCCATTTCCCTGGTAACATTCATGGCCCTCTTCTGGGCTCACTCTAACAAGTTCCCTTCTTTCCTTTACCTAGGATGCCAGAGTTGGACACAATACACAAGGTGTGGTCTCACCACAGCAGATTGGAAGGGGAAAATCACCTTCCCCAACCAGCTGGCCACACTTGGTTCAGAATATTTTTGAGCCCTTTTATGAGATTTTTAGGACTGGAAGACACACAAAATTATTTAGTCAGTATTTTTTGTTACTCTTACCTTTTTACAGGGGCTAAAGATGCCTTAGATTATGCACACTATTTTTTTGAAAAAACGATACACTTTTCTTCAACAGTTTCTGATATATACTTTCTTCCTTCTTTCTTTCTTTCTTTCTTTCTTTCTTTCTTTCTTTCTTTCTTTCTTTCTTTCTTTCTTTCTTTCTTTCTTTCTTTTTTTCTTTCTTTTTTTTTTTTCTTTTTTTCTTTTTTTTTTTTCTTTCTTTCTTTCTTTCTTTCTTTCTTTCTTTCTTTCTTTTTCTTTCTTTCTTTCTTTCTTTCTTTCTTTCTTTCTTTCTTTCTTTCTTTCTTTCTTTCTTTCTTTTCTTTCTTTCTTTCTTTCTTTTTTCTTTCTTTCTTTCTTTCTTTCTTTCTTTCTTTCTTTCTTTCTTTCTTTCTTTCTTTCTTTCTTTCTTCTTTCTTTCTTTCTTTCTTTCTTTCTTTCTTTCTTTCTTTCTTTCTTTCTTTCTTTCTTTCTTTCTTTCTTTCTTTCTTTCTTTCTTTCTTTCTTTCTTTTTCTTTCTTTCTTTTTATCATTCTCTTTCTTTCTTTCTCTCTTTCTTTCTCTCTCCCTCCCTGCCTCCCTCCCTTCCTCAACTTTGATGTTAATTTGTAAACTGTGAAGTACTCACAGTAAATTACTCTTCCCTAAATAACATTTGGAAGCATAGAAATGGATCAATAACAAAATGGTCTGAAGAAAGAGCATTTAAAAGTGATTTTAAAGTGAGAATTCGACTTGGATATTGAAAATTCAAAAATAGAACATTGAAATGGTGGAATGGATGGTTTGAAGGGATTTTCTTTGTGTTTCTGTGATACAAATGATGGTCTCAATTTTTATACCTTCTAAAAATACATCTTGAAAGTTACTACTTTAGATAACAAAAATATTTCCAAAAGAAGGAAATGGATTGATGCAGATTAAAATATAATGTTCTAAATATTCATCCTCTAGTACAAAGGATTGCCCTTACACGCTAAGCTTTATGGACATTTCTAGTCTCACACAAACGCAGAAGAATTTTTCAACTGACTAGAAAATCTTAAAAAAAAAAAAAAAGATAAATAAAGATCAGAAAATTCTATGCACCCACGCTTACTAGTTGTTGGTTACTAAAGACTGGATCTGTTTTTTGGGTGAGTATACTTCCCATTCACACACACAGATACACCTCTTCCCCCTGTAAACAGATGTCTGATTTTGGCTATCAAAGAAGGGACTATCTTTTTGCTATTCAACAGGCTTTGGTTTTCAAAGTCAAGGGGTATTCTTCCTGGATCTATTACCTGGATTTATTACCTAGAAGGCAATAAAAGTCATTAAATATTTGGTAAAAACTGTCCTAACTACATCTTCATGTCAACCATTTAGTCTAACTTAGGTTGCTTGCATGCAATTTTTTTCCCCCCAAGTATTATGGCAAGTAAAGAATAATTACATTGAAGGCAGATCATGTTTTGCAGGAAGACATCTATGGCATGTTTAGCACACACCTAT